TAATAGAAGAGTAAAAATTATGTCCGGACTTCAAAAATAGAGTTTATCTGCAGTAGCTCCAGAATCTTCGTATTATGATCCGAGATAGTCATACGATGCTGCTTTGAAATGGAATTAGAACTGCTGCATAAAATAAGCAACTATTCTGAGTTACGCTTGGTTTTTGAGGAAACACACGCATATATATATATATGAACATACAAATCGCTTCATCATAAGTTATGATAATATATTATAGAATAAAGAGGCATTGACTGTTTGAGGTAATTCGCAGGCTCTTTTTTGATTTGTAACGGTAATTCTCACAGACGACACTAATGGATGAATCAGACAATCCAGATGTTGATATTTTCATTTTTCTCGGAAAGTTTACTCCCAGTATTTTCTCTGAAGGTGTTATTTCCTAATGCTAACCATTTCACATGAACTGCACAAGCTGACTGCATAGCAGTAGGGCAACAGAGTGCATGTATGGGGTTGGTACCATTACTGAAATCATATTTACTTACCGCATATTTACTGTAAGGTTTCCCATCTTCATTGAGTCGAAATGCACCTACCTTTCGTTCCGTTTTTGCGTCATATTTTCAAACATAGGGGCTTCGCTCCTTTTTACTGTTACACATATGAACTGATGTAGTATTTCAAGGTTAATCGCAAAAAACCTTATCAAGACAAGGACTACCTCTTGATTATGCACACTTTCGAAATCTTCTACCTGCTTCAGCTAATTTTCTTGCATATTAGATGTAATCCTTTGAAATAATAGGAAAATAAAGAAAGTTCGCACAAAAATAGATCGAGCACTGACTCCTCAGGATCCTGACTATAAAAATCAAAATCAGGCCCCTGTCTGAATCTCGTCTTAGCTGTAAAAAACAAGGTGCTTTAAAAAACTCTGACTTGATCATTCAATAGATAGCTATCATAACTTACAAAAAAATGATAATATAATATTCAAAGGTTATACTGAACAATTAATAAGATTAACAGGCCTTACTCTATGGAAGCTATCCACATCTACAACTACGCTCTTACACTAGCTGAATGTCGAATTTACAAGGAAGCACCGGAGTTTAATCGCAGTTACCTATAATGTACGTGTAATCGTGCAACATTCATAACGTAATAAAAGGCAGAATTTTTTACGTGGATACGCGCGACAGGATGACCGACCGGTCGTGGTCAACATCAGCGGGACAAGTTCCTGACGCACTAGATGGACGTTCCGACTCATCGCCTTGGATTTTGCAAAGAAACCTGCTATTCTACACACATACAGATGCATAGGTGAACGGATTATCCGTCGCTCATTCTCTCCAGCCACCGGGCTCGAGAGGTTTAGGTCAATCACTGTTTCACACTTTTGAACGTCTCATCGATAGCAGTGTCTGCTGCTTTAGCAGGAAATCACCAATCCTTTTTTTTCTCGCTTAGTTTGGTAATATTAAAAAATGTTCTTACTTTATGTAGACTCCTTTGCTAGAGCATGAGTGCTTTAGGCTACTTTCACAATTGCAGAACGTGTTCTGGCGCCTACGACTGTTATCTTCGGCTATCCATTGGAATTTCATCACCCGCGCAGGTAGCAATGATCTCAATACATTGCTTATCTCTAAGTACATTGTGCTAATACACTGAATATTATCTAGTTTTTGCTTTTGTACAAGTTATCACTGCTTCGGTTGATCTATTGAAATTTAGATGAGTTCTTTGGCAGTTTTGATGCTTCTCGCGTTTGCTATCTCAGCAGGTCAGACCATTTCCAATTAATTTTTGATTTAATGAATTTTGATGAGATCTAGACGGCCAACTCAGTGCTATGTTTGGAAATCCAATACAAGCCCCCAACTGCGAGTCTTGGTCTGAATGGGGCCCGTGCGTATGGCTGAAGGGAAAGGAGAAGCGGTGCGATATGAAAGAACTTTTGAGAGTTATAATATACTCTTCTCTTTGCAGATATCAACGATCCTATTTTGATCAGCTACTGCCAGGGCGAAAAGGCTGTCGTAATCATGTTTTCTTCCGACTCTTGAAAGATCGATGGGGAGTTGTAAGTGATTTTAATTCGAACTCAGCTCAATGAGTGAAAAAAA